AATTATATATATATATATATAAAAATAATATATATAAAAATATATTTATCTTTGCTCGGTAAATACCGGATCCCACGACCTCGAAGAGCTACAGTGACCCTTAATCTCTTTTTCCTCTATCGAACTTACACTACGTATTAACTGAAATGCTAATTTCAACTAAATACACTTATAGTGCTGAGGTAAGTTTATTTGATGAGAAAATTTTAAGTGTATGTCGTCACAACTAAGTGCTATCAATCGACCAATGCAAACGTTTAATTTGTATCTAGGTACCGCAAAATTTGATTGGTTTAGCTAGATTACGTTTAAGTTTAGTGATTTCGACTTGTGTGCTTTTAAAATGAATTCGATATCCAAGAAGGATGTAAAAACATACATAATGAAATTTAACTTATATTATTTCTGGATAAAGTAATTCAATTGTAATCTTGAAAAATGATACAATGTTTTATTTTCACTTAAAATAGATAAATAAGTATGACAAAGTGATAAAATTTACATTTTTATAATATTCAAGAATCTGAAGAAGCTGTGAAAAAGCATAAAATGTATTAATTTAAGTTAAACCATGCATGTAATTGTTTCAAATTGTTTGTCATTCTTTTTATGAATATCAGGTTATGGCTAAGCCTCGTGGTTAATCGGAATTGGGAAAGAAAGTGTTATTGTGAGTCATATTAACACTTTTTCAAGCTCCTCATAATACAGATGACCACCAAATAATTGTAAAGAAGTACTGTGAGAACCTCGCGTAACCTAATATTGGAATTCACGTCAAATCTATCAGATTTAGTCAGTAAGTTGTGCCACCTCCCGTTTAGCAGTCACTGCAAAAACTTAACAATCTTACAAAATGAAATCTTCCGCGTGTCTTTGTAATTCAGATTTTAGGTGTTGGCGTACTATCCCGTCGACCATTCTCGCCAAATCAGAAAATAAATTTGAATGTAGTTCAAATTTAAATATTTTCTCATTTATTTGCGTGCAATAAGTAATATTTATATTTTGCCCATTTCTTCATGATTAATTACTATGTAAAAAACTTGAAAGATACCAAAATGGCTCTTGCACAGTGTTGTCGAAAATGGTTGACGAGATAATATGTAAGTACCAGAGATTTTTATATTCGGAACGACAAAATAGTGAGTCAAAAAATTGTGGAAAAAATGAAAAACAATCTTTGCGGCTTTTTTTTATGACAAAACACACAATTACTGTTCAATATTTAAAAATATATATATAATGGTGTGAAATTAAAATCTGTTCCTGCTGCTTCCTTTGACGAAAATTCACGAAGTTTCTAAACAAAAGGGAATTCAAAAATGTGCTGAAAATAATGCTATTGATGAACAATACTTTTTTATGTATATGCACAGCATTCCATCTAGTTTCAAATCAGACACAACTTTTTGTAAACACATGATGTAATTATCAGTTTAATAATAAGTGGGGCAGTTAATATTAGAGAATTGCTGACTTACTTTCTTAAGTGAAACATTAACAAATCCTTTAGGTTCTTGAACTGTCAGAGTGAGTGGTTCCATTTTAAAAGGATCCAGAACTAAGATATGGCCAGCTGAACTACCGTGCAGGACTGTGTTTCTGGCGTCAGACATTTTATTGATAAGTACGGAATGAAGGCTGTGCAAAATAGGATCATTATCATCATCTTGCTTGATGTCTGAAAACACAATGAAATGCAATATTATTCTTTTGCTCCCAATCCATGACGCAAAATATAGATGCTCAAAATTCATGCCAAATTTATATACGTTTTTTGGTCATAACCTTCCCCTGGGAAATGCTCCAGGCGAACATTAAGTCGAAGTGAGAAAATAGATATCTTGAAAGGATATACATTTCAGAAAAGCAATTGATTAAAAATTACAACGTAAAATAAAAGGAGCAGTAGAAAGGTAATTTGTCTGCACCGGTAACTGAACCCGAGCTCTACTCTTTTATCCATCCCGCCATTTCGTGTTAAAGTAAGGCATTCCGCAGCAGCTCGTTATGGGTTATGGTTAACCATTTCGTGCCGAATGTCACAAATACTTGCCAGCATAAAACCGTATCAACCAGGGTAAAAAAGATTAAATTGGTAACCGAAGTAGTTCTTTAGCAGTTTATTTGTAGGCGGGATTATAATTGTTTGATTTATTTAATTCACCATTATTTAACAAAACTATGGTTCAAATAAAACTATTGAGTTATACTTTGAATTAAAGTAGTTATATTAATCATTTATATTGAAGTAAAAGCAAAGTAAGTCTGTCAAATTAACAACGCCTACATTTAAGTTACCGTTTTTTATTTATTTACATCCTGATTCTGATCTTGTACGAATGCTTTCATGAATACCCCCTCATACCCCAAGGGGTTAAGTCTCTAAAATTTAATGATAAACGCCATGATTGTTACAATGTAGTCAGCATCGCGCACAGGCCGGCATTACTACTCAGAAAAAACTGGTACCCATCGATTAGAAGCTGGGTCATACAATGTTAATGCTTCTAAATTCAAATAAAAACTGTTCTCCAATAATACATCGAGATGACAAATTTATGAGTAAGGAATGTTACGTCAAACATTTGAATCGATTCCTTTGATTTCGTAACGATATGAATGTCAAAAGTAAAGAAACAAATCTCAGGGACTGCTGAATCGTGAAAAATTAGATTTTCATTTCTAAGAATGATCTAGAGAGTTAATGTTTTTAACATTCTACACAAGAAAAACAACTTTATGAAGCATTTAGATACTATTTTTTAACTATTTCATTGCTATTTATATAGTTATCTTTATTTCTAAACAATTGCGACTTTTAAAAACTAATTTAAATTTGAATAAATATTTTAAACTAAGTAGTTTTAAATTAGCTAAAGAATTGAAATTGATTCTTCAGTCTCTCGGTTAATCTTTTTTTCAGTCTTATTAAAAATATATAGAGAGAGTAAAAAATGTGTCTGTACAAATCTGTACAAAATGTGTGCAAATCTGTACAAGTGTGTGTGTACAAAATGTGCCTGTACAAAAATTGTACAAGTTTTATTTCATCTCACACGTTGAAAAGACTGAAATGTAACTGAAAAAGCTGGAAAAATTTAACCAATCTTAACAATAATAAGGAAGTTTCATGAAAATAAAAATTTAGTAATTTTACTTAACAGCATTATCAATCAAAAGGCATTTATACTATATGTAGTGATGAAAATGAAAGGAAATTCTATGATTATGATCTATTTTTATTATAAAGAGGAACCTCAATGCATTTTAAATAGAAAATTTCGTACAAGTAACCATAATGGTTTGGATTGCTTTTAGAAATGCGTAATGCAGGAAATAGACATATCTTTAAAAGATTATTAAGGAAAATGAAACTTTTGATCTACTGTTATGAGTATTATGTTTTGAAAGAGCTGATTTGGAAAGAGCAATTATCCGTAATGTTTAAGAAACTAAGCTAATTGTTTGGTGTTAAAAATTGATTGAATTATTGCCTCCCAATTTGAAAGTTCCAAATGTTCCAATCTAATTACAAAAACGCACATTTTGAGCTTTTTTTTTCTTTCAAAAGTGCATTTTATAGTAACTCGCATTTTGAGCCAGCTGCGAAAAAAGGTTTAGCGTAGCTAAAAAACATTTCTGCACCATAACTGTTAACATATTTCGCGGAAGTGTATGACATTAATTGCAACATTTAAATTCGTGCTAAATTTTTATCAGACCAATATGTGGCGAATTTATAATCCTGAGCATTTTTTCCATGACGTCAGATCTGAAAATGTAATTTTTTCCCGGAAAAATAGACAACACATGTAAACTTCAAATATTTTTTCCATCAATAGGTATACCATATATTAGGTATCATAGGTATACCATATCATATATCATAGGTATACCATACCATATACTAATTAAAGAAAGCCTTGAAAAAATTGATGCGACGTCTTTAAAATATGTTAATTCAGTATGACACGAAACATTTTCGCTCTTTTTACTGTATTGTATGTGCATACATTTAGGAAAAATAAACGAGCAGATACGAGTGAGATGTAACAGAAAGGCTAATTTCGTAAAAACATTTTTTTCATTTGGATGTGGAGTATAATTAGAACAACTGTAACGGTTCATTAAATTCAAAAGAATTTTCTTTGTTTTTTTTTCTTTATCTATTGATCATTTATTAACGCTCCGCTGCATTCGGCCACTTGGAGTAATTCACGATTACACTTTTTTAAAATATTTTTTTTTATGGAAAGCATGTGTCATTTGTTTATACCTGTCCATTTCCTTTACAATATTTCCATATCATTTGGACGATCCACTTATTTTTCCGCAACGTTGCAAACACCATAAACTGGCTTTATTATCGCTTCTTTGGAAGTTAACCTAAAATTATTCCTGTTAATCCTTGGCACACAAAGAAAAAATTGTTGTGGGGCTTATTGCTTCATTTTATCTGATATGAAACGCTTCAGTTTTTTTCAGTTCAAAACAAGAAATATTTTATCTTCTTTGCTTTGATATTACGTTTACCAGTGTTGTAACGAAAAATATATTTACTAATCTATGTATGGGTTCATTTCATAATGACTAACGTAACAGTTACGGGTTTTTTGAAATATTTATTTGTTAAAATAAATGCAAATGAAAATAATTTTATCTCAGTCTTGAGTATTTATGATGTAAATAATGATTATCTATCCAAGAAAGAAGGAAGGATATTATTTTTAGCTATTAATTAATTCTTCATAGTGTGATTTTTTGCCCAAAAATAACTTTTACCTTTTTTTATTAAATTTTTCTTTATAGTTTGATTTCGAACTTACTTCAAGAATGTTGTGACTTATGTACAGTGTAAAACATTCCGGATCAAATTGAAATATCGGCACTTTGCTTGTATTATCCGTAAAATTACTTCACCGCAAAATCCATTTTTAACGTAAAATCATATTTGTACCGTAATTTTTACGGCAATATTCATTTCATTAAACTGTTTTAGTCATTTTACGGTAATTATTGCTGTAAAAATTACAGTACATCAGATATTTTTTGCTCTGTAACTTGATCCGGAATTTTTTTCAGTGTATCTTTTGTCTTCTCTACATGTTTTTTGTCTTTGTCATCCAATTAAATCCAAATTTGAAAGCCCTCACCACCTTGCAAGATATGATGTTATTAGCTTTTGTGTAAATTAATGATCTGACGCATGTTTTTTTTTTTTTTTTTTTTGAAAAAGAGTTTAATCATCCCCAGCTGATACCCTTAAACTTGTCATAGTCCTTGGGGTCCCACTCAATATTAAACTCAACAATTCAGAATAATTACGTCGAATATTCTAACATCACATTTAGAAATCTGAGAATGGTAATTCTCAAAATTAGAAGACACCGTTGCTCCTCGTTAATGCTCGTCAACCTTCAAAAGGATAACTAAGTGCAATCTCAAAAGTATACCGAGCAAACATTGTTGAGAGCATAGCATCCTAACACAGTCATGGTAATCAAATATTGATCAATACAGAAAAAAATCACCTTATGTAATGTAGGAATTGTGAAGGCTAATAAAACAATTAGAAGAACTAAAGAAATTTCCGAGGAGTAAAAATTCTAATGTGTTGTTTAAATAAATTAAAGCAAATCCCCAAAAATTAACAAAATAGAAACAGCAAAAGAATTCAATATCTGCAAAATTTCTTCACTGTTTCTCCCTTTCAATTTCCAAGCTTTATATTTTTTTTTTATTCTATGTACTTAAATATTTCGTCATATGAGATATCATAACACACCACTTTCCCTTTCACTATTAAAAAAGTTATGAATCGTGTTGAAATATTTCTAACACTACTCATTAAAATCAAAAACTAATTGCTTTGAAGCATCACGTAAATGTACAGCATGATAAAAGTGTTAAAAAGGGAATTCTTTTCCAATAACTATTCCAATATGTGGTACAGGGTTAGTGCGCTCGCTTATCAAGCTTATTTCCTGGATTTGATTTCTAACTGTGACTGAAAACTCAGACTTTTTTTGTATTTTCTAATTAACTGTGTAAGTCTGTATGGTGCATGAAGCCGAATACTTTTGGCGAAATTAGTATTTGAACTGTGTAGAAACAAATAAATCCAATGATTTTAAATTTTAGCAGCAGGTTTTGCCTAAATTTGAATAGTGTAGAACACTGTGTTTCATTGAAACTATCATTGGGTATTATAGTATCTATCATTTTTATGCCATTTTTTTAATTAATGTTTCATTCTAGAGATATTTAAAAACCATTTGACGTTAGTAATGAACTTTCAAATTATAAATGAGATATATCATTTAATCAACTGCTTTATAGATTTTTAAAAACAAAATATTTAAAGAAATTTTTTCCCTTCCTTAATTTTCCAAGTTTAAACACTCAGGAAACCATACTAATAAACATTTAGAGGTTACAAATATGCATCAAAACTCTAAACTGTCCTTATTTTCAGAATATGGTTACTGACTTCTAAATAATCTTTTATACATTTTTATTTAAGTAAATGTATCCAATGTGTTCATATATTTCTTCTTTCTGGGATCACTTTGTTTAGATTTTGTGACAGATTTGGAAGCGAAAGCTCTTAATATCGAGATTTAGGTAATCGAAATTTTTATAACTAAGTATACATAGTCTGCGAAATATTAATTAAAAATGTAGGTAGCTCCTTAAAATTATAATACCCTTTATGGTGGTATCAGTAACTAATAGCTCTCATCCTCTTGAAAATTTACCACAGACGGCTTCTCAGTTCATGTAAATATCGCTTTAAAATCCTTTTTACATTCTTCATTTCAAGCATATGGCTTTCAAAGACGGATTTATATTTACCTTCTTTTTTTTCAAATAACGCACAGTCCGACAAAAACTCGTTACTCCAAAACCAATTTTGTCATTACGGAAAGACATTCTGCCAACTAATTTTCAGCATATTGAAGAAAAAAAAGAGAATTAAAACAAAATGGAATTTTTTTCCCAATGGATTGAAGAGGTAGCACAAGCTGACAACTATATATAATTTGCTTCCTCCTGTTTGGATTGCTTAAAAATGCCTATTTGTCCGTAACTTCTAATACGAGACATTTTCCGTCAAGTTCGCAGGTTCAGCATTGCTTGAAGTGTGTTTAAAAGCCAAAAATATGTGATTTATATATTATTAGACTTGGCCGAACAGCGATATTTCTTTCTTCAAAACCTAAGAGACCTGATACACTATTTATCATAAATTAAGGAAAAATTACGAAAATAGCAATAACTCTCCCGAAAATAAGCCAATCCCAATGAAGTTTAAATATGTTGTTAAATAACAGCTGCTAAGTAAAACTACAACATATAAATTAGTAGCAATGCAATGGAATGACGTCATCTGACGAGCATAAAATTGAATGTTTGATCGCAAGCCTGTACTTGGGCAACAACTTTTAACCACTGCCTAGGCATCCAGAAGATTCAGCTAAAGACGGTCAAATGCTACTAGGAGCGTCAATGACAGATATTTATCGCTATGTTCATGAAATTATAAAACCGCAACTCTAATCAGTTCAGATCCTCTCTTTGCTGCAGCTTCCGGAAGATTGGTGCTACCGTTTACTGTGAGTCGAAGGCTTCACGGAAGTCGTTTGTTTGCTAGTCGACCAGTTATTTGCGTGCACTCTCGTCACACCATAGATGGGAACGTTTGAGGAGGGCGCAGATCCTCTGGACCGCTAACCAAGGGAGGGCTGTTTTTCCCCCAGCTGAGTTCAGGTTTAGCATCCAAAGCAATAGTACATGTTGTTTGAAGAGAACCCGAAACCCATTATCATCCATCAAACATATGCGAAAGAGATGCATACAAAGGAGGCAGTATCTGTATGTGGGTTTGCATATCTTGGGAGGAGCTCAGAGACTTGTATGTTTTTCCACGAAGAGCCATGAATATTAACGGGTATATCGATGACATCCTTAATATTATGTGCACCCTTATGCTGGTGTAATGGATGATGATTCCATGCTACAAGACGATAACGCAACAACCCGCAGGTCTAGCGTCGTGGATGTTTATTTTCAGCAGCAAACAATTCAACGCATGGAGTGGCCAGCTCGATCAACGGACTTGAATTCTATTGAGCATGTTTTGGGATGCTTTGGGAAAATGTGTAGCTGTTCTTTAACCCTCCTCATATACCCTTGCCACGCTTGCAACTGTTTTTCAAGAACAAAGTCTCGCACTTGCAGTGGAACTCGTAGAACGCGTAATTGAAAGCATTACACATCGCTTTATATGATGTATTACTGATAGATGTGATCAAACTCCATACTGAAGTACTTTTTCTATTACCATCTGACTCATCTAATTTATGTTATAAATTATTATGTGTACTATGTTGTTTTACACATCATTATGTGTACTGAGTCAATTTCATTAAACTCTATGCGTAACTTTTTGAGCTATGGTCATTTTTAGATGTTTATTTATGATAACCAGTGCATATCACCAAGCTAGGCATACATCAAAAGATAACAGTAAATTTTGGGTAAAGAGATGTTTAAATTTATAAAATAGCAGTTTTAGAATAAAAGATTGTTCATATATTATCAAATATCAATGACTTAGTCATCAACCCACCAAATCTCCTCATGACTAAATAATTCTCTTTAAAAAAAATTCCAACATAATCTGGTAAAACTTAATTCGAAGGTATATGAGCATCAGACGAGAAATTTTTTTTTTTCCAAATTTGATTAGCATCACCTATTAACTGTTATTATGTGGTACAGGTATTTTTTGGCACAGATATTTAAATGTAAAAAAATAATCGTAAAATATTTATTAATATCCGTTATTTTCATACAATACGCCGTAAACATTCTGTTATGAACATTTTATTTATTTAGTAAGTATTTCTAGTCTGATAGTTTTTCAATAGATTTCGTTTCTATAGTACACACGCAAGACTTACACGCACTTCTGTGTAATAAACTAAAACAATTTATTTATATTTATTTTTAGTTCTAATTGACAGTGTCGACTTGGCATTAGCATATATCATTGCGATGCCTAATTTAGAAGGGAATAATTAAACTTTAATAAGACATTGTGGGGCATATTATGGTCGTATAATAAAAATATTCACCGTTTTTTTTTTTGATAAAAATTCTGCTAGTATAACGATATTCCTACGCTTGCTAAATAATTTTGTGGCGTCATGAATAATTTTTTTTCCAATGTTAATTTAATCTCGAACAGCAAAAATAAATTTTTATATCTCATACAGAATAGATCTAAGCAATTCTGGGATTACCAAATAATTGCAACTCGACAATAGATCAATCGAGTTGCAAACATTTATGGTTCATTTGTTAAAAGTAAATTTAATTCTTTCTTTTGTTGTATCCTTCATTATGCCTGCTCCGTTTCACAATACTTTTTCATGTTTGGCTCTAAAAATACAAAATCTATTCAAGCACAACACTAAAACTAGATAAAGCACGCAGCTAAAAAGGCCCTAAGAGACCAGCGTCTGCATGATCTACACTGTAGAAAATTCCGGATCAAACTACGGTATAAAGTATCGGCACATCATTCGTAAAATCCATTATACGTTAAATTCATTTTCAATATAAATTATTAGACTCGCAAGATTATAATTTTGAGATGAACGAGCATTAAGTAAATAGTTGGTCCCACAAGTCATCAAATAGAGATCGGTTCTTGTTTTTGGCAATTCAATTAGCAACATTATTCAGTGGTTAATTTAGTTAGTATGGCTTTCATTGCTTTATACATTTCCCAATGTATTAAAAGACACGAGTTCCAATTCTATAGATACTCAAAACACTCGGTACAGTGTTTTAATTATTTTAGAACGTTGTAAAATAATTAGTAATCATTCTCATCTTGTCCCCAGTAGTATCGAAGCTAAAAATTAGCCCCACAAAAGTCCTATAAAAAGATGCACCGAGAAGCCGAAACTTGTGTGCCTAGATATTGCTCAAATGAACCCAGACATGCTCCGAAAGTATACACAGTCTATCTAGACGCCTTGATGGATTAAAAATTAAATTCGAATTAGGACAAATCTATATAAATTCAATATAGGCTGAGCAACGACTACGAAAAATTAATTGAATCAGACAAATCTGTACAGAGCTTATCTGGGCAAAATATGGGTATAATTATATATCTGCAGATCAGCAAGCAAATTTTTTAAGAGCTTAACCCCTTCCTTCTCACTCCCGTGAAAATGACGGGGTGAGATTTCGCCCGTTATTTCTCACTCCCGTGATATTGACGGGTTGGAGTGTTCAGTAGTAACGCGCCAAGAAGAATAAAACTAATTCATTTCTTTTGCCCGGAAAACATTTTATTTCTCATTTTACACACCTGATGGCAGTACCAGGATATTTTTAAGGTAATTGTAGATAGTCAGTTTATTTTAAACTAGTTGCAGCACTAATCAAATACGTAATACAAATACAAGAGCCAAAAAAATAGGCACTTTTATGACCGTTTTCTTGAAAATTAACCGATCGATAAGGGATTAAACAAGTAGTAATTGAGTAAGTTAAGGGATTAAAAATGAATTTTCACATTCTCTTCTCAATTTTTTTTTTTTTTCGAAAAAATCTGAGAAGGCAAATAATCTTCAAATTCTATAAGAACTTTTTTATCTGAGTTGAAAAATGTTCTGCAGATGCCCTGATTATCTGCAATACCCAAGGCCGTGCTGGAGGATTTCTGTTACCGGGATCCTCTGTCGGTCAGAGTTGTATTGCTACTACGAATCATGTGCTTTAAATATTTTTAAACTATTGTACTACGTAACAGCTATATTAGTTTACTAATTGGCTAGCATTACAATAAATTTGTAAAAATTTGAAATACTTTTCAAGTTTATTATAATTCATAATTTTATAAATTTTTATTTTTCAATTGCATGTATAGATATTTGCTTGATAGGTCACGCAACTTTTAACTTTTGGCAACCAGTCAAAAATTTCAACAAAAAAAAACAAAAAGAAGAAGAAGAAAAAAGAAACATGCAGTGACTAGACTACAAGATCATTTTGAATATCAGTTTGTAAAGATTGAAAATCCGTTCATTCTGTTCTGTGACCGACCTTTCTTTAAATTCAAAATCATTAATATTTCATGTGTGAGAATAACAGAATGAAATTTTCTCATTCCAATGCGGGTCTATTGTCAAGGCAAAATAAAATAAAGAAGACATTTGAATAAATCTTACCTATATCTTTCGTCTCTTCTGAGAAAATCCCCCTACTGACTAGTATCACACACAATATGAGGTACAAAATTCTATTCCCCATGATGGGTAATAGGAACTGTTACTTTTTCGAACAACTCGCGAGTTCGGACTGAACCTCTTAAAAAAACAACTTCTAAAGGAGTGACCCAGTGAAATTCGGGAAGTGGGTCGTTGAGTCTTGCGGCCATTCACTTTCTAACGAGGAAAAAAGGGAAAGAACATTTGAGGAAGAAATATTTGATGAAACGATTTTTTTATTTATTTTATTTTTACGACACCACTAAATGCAACGACTCTTACCACTCCTCGTTTTTTTTTTTTTTTTTTTTTTTTTTTTTTTTTTTTTTTTTTTTTTTTTTTCTTTTTTACTATTTCATTTTATTCTTTTCTTTTCCCTTAACGAACTAAACTTTTAAGTTTGATTAAGGAATTTTGGCAACAATGGGAAAAACAGACGATTTGTTAATTTTTTTCTTCTTTCTTTTCGTCTCAATACGAATTTAGAAATTGGTGAAACATGAAATAATTGCAGTAACTGATGCGTTTGCTTTTTCACGGTAGCTGGAAATAGAATTTTTAAGTGACATAATAATATTTTTAGGAAGTCATTACAATGAAGAAGTATTATTTTCTCTTCGGTAGTTGTTGTTTGAAACTTTAAGGAAAATAATCAGTAACGTGATCTTAAAAAAAATTAATATTCTTGTGACATATATTTTCTTTAACGTTTCGACTAAGCAAAAATACGAACTTTACAAACTAATTTTATATTTATAAGAGATATTTTATTGCTATCATTTGCCACATTTATTAATTTCTTCCATAAAAAATAACAATTAAGTTTCATCGTTTTATTAAAATTAGCGATTAAAAAGTTTTAATAATATACATGTTAATTTTTATGGTACCTCTGAAGGCAACGACTCTTTACCTTTCCTCATTTTTTTGCTGTTTCATTTTATGCCTTTCTTTTACTTTAACGAACTGAACTTTTAAGTTAGATTAAGAAATTTTGACAACAATGGGAAGAACAGAAGAATTTTTTATTCGCTTTAATACCAATTTAAAAATTGGTAAAACATGAAATAATTTCAGTAATTGATGTATTTGCTTTCCCACGATAGCTGGAGATAGAATTTTCAAGAAACATTATAATATTTTTAACAACGTCCCTAGATTGAAGAAGTATTGTTTTCTCTTCGCTGGTTATTGTTTGAAAAAATAAGGAAAATAATCAGCAATATGATCTTAAAAAGAAAGTATTAATAATCTTGTGACATACATTATCTTTAACACAATCTTTATTTTAGATTAGCAAAATATATGCTAATTTTTTGCTTCCAAAATATATTTTATTCAATACAATTACCACAGTATTTAATTCCTTCAATAAAAATAATAATTAAGTTCAGCTTTTTATTAAAATTATCATAAAAAAAGTTTTATTTGAAATGCATGTTAAGTAAAGGATTTCATTAAATAAATACTTCGTTTAATTACTTACTGTTTGTTATTTTACATTTTAAGTGAACAAAAAGAAATTGTGTAGTTACTGCTAACTTTGCGACCGTGCATTTATCAAATATTTTTTCTGTACCTTTTACGTTTCAAGAAGGAAAAAAAAAATAGTATTTATAATTTAACTGAATATATATGCATATTTGTTGTTTTTTTTTTTTTTNTTTTTTTTTTTTTTTTTTTTTTTTTTTTTTTGATAAATAAAATGGTGAAGGTTTGGCAACAATCTAATTAAATCAAAACAATGCATTTCTTAAAATACAAAATTTTTTTGGTGATAAAAAATAATAATTTATCTGAAATATATATAATAAGCTTGCAAAATAAACTGTAGATTATTCAATAAGTTCTCATCTAAGTCATTCTACTTGCTTAATTTATTTAAAAAAGAAGTACTTTTGAATAAGTGAATAAGTGAGTAAGCCTAGTTCCAAACCACATTGCAACGGACGAGATAACTCGTCTTCTGGAAAACGTTGCTGTGTGCTAGAGACGAGATAACGAGTTGTCTATAGTATTTTCTATAGTATTCTCAAGTTTTTCTATAGTATTGAAGCATGTTAAGCAACTTATTTATCAACATTTAAGCATATTTTAGTCCATAATTTTTTGTTTTTCACTACGATTTTACAAAATGGCACCAGCAGCGCTATTTGTAGAACCTTTGCGATATTATTATTCTTATGTCTCTGAACACAAATAGGCCATTATAGTAATTATCTAAATACTGATTGCACTTTATTATTATTATTTAAAGTAAAATAAGCAAGTTTTATTGGAATTTGCATTTTGTTTCAATTTTGGTGCTGCGGGAAAACTCTTAGCGCAGTGGGTGGGACAAAGACCACTCCAGATCTGCGAACAGCGCAAGAGGCGTGTAGGTCGACCCATGTACAGAATTTTTAGACAAACCTCTATTCAAATTCTTCATACAATTATTATCTTCATTTATGATAATGGAATGATGGTAATGGCAGCAAACAAAAACAAATTCTTTTGTTCATTTGGAAGAAAAAGTGTCTTTTAATCGAATTTTGACTCATCTTTAATACTATATCCTCAAATATGCTTTACGACCTCAACTTTCAACAGCCAAAAGAACTGAATGATGCGTTTGTCAAGTAAAGACTTAAATGCTTTAAGTTACTACAGCAAATTATATTTACCTTTTAACATTATTAATTAAAATAAATTTGCTAAATGAATGTGACACTATGATCTTCTAACTGTGGATATCTGTAATGACTTTCGCTAATATTAATTTAAAAACAAAGATTCCAAAAATAAACACGCATTTTTAAGTTGTGAAGGCAAATTAGGAGGACAAGTCTTGTGTTGTCTTTTACTTTATACGATTTCCATTCATTATCCGATTTGCATTCGCTTCATTATATAATTCGCATTTTTTTCGTATACTGTATAGAAAATAGATTAAAAATATTAATTATTCAGCAAAGTAATTCCAATTTAGTTCCAAAATAATTCCAATTTAGTTACAAAGTTATTCCAATTAAGTTCCAATGATGTCATAGTTTTTAATGAAAATACTTAATAATCTTATATTGCTTTTTATTAATTCTTGTTATAAATATAATAATTGAAAATGTGTAACCTAAAACGAAATATTTATAGTGTTATCTAATAGTTATGTTTAAACAAAAAGAATACAAGTTTTAATACTTAATAATTTCAAGGTAAGAAATCTTCGTAAAAATCTTTTAAAAATCAAACAAATTTCAAGCATAAGATAGTTTTTTTAAAATTAAATAATAAATTGTTTAAGAAATATATACGTGTATAAAAAATTAATATTTAAAAAAAAATAATCCAGAAATTCCAATAAGACAAGGATAACTACATAAGATTTGCTTAATTTTCTTATAGTATTTATTATCTTATATTTCCTTTTCTTATATTAGTATTACATGGTGTTTTTTTAAAAAAAAACCTTCAAAAGTCAGAGTTCAAATAAACGAAAACTACAAAGAAATCGAAAAAAAATTATATGTAATTAAAACAACAATAACAAAAATAATGCTGTTTAACTGTCAATAAAATAAATGAAAAGTGAAAATATTATTAACTATATGTTAATATAAAAAAAAATATTTTTAAACTAACATTTGTATTTGTTTTTTAAAATTATATTTATTTTCATTAGTGTAAAAAAATATTCTTCTTTCTAACACGCCATAATATTACAAAGAATAATAAAATATATATTCATTTATATCAGCAATACAAAAGACTTAGTATCTTTAACATTTATGAGTATTTCAGTCTTTGCTTTTAGAAAAATCAGCAAACTGTCAAAATATGTAAAAAGGAAAAATTCGAAAATTTTAATAATGTTCTCTTTTTAAGAGGTTAGAACACTCATTTAGGCGATAAAAATCTTTTATTTTTTTATGCTTCCTATTAAAAAAAAATTTTTTTGAAATTCAAAATTTTTGCCCATTTTTCGCCGTTTATAACTAATTTAGTAATCGTAGATGAAGAGCTCAGTGGATGTTAGCTTAAGTGACATTGAGTAAATAGGCTTTATAAAGTTTATAGGTAAACACTTGGAAATAAAGGTTCTTCTTTGTCTTTATTGCTTATCCGCAAGCTTCCATAACTGGTGAAAGCCCTAACCTCTCTAACAATTAAGCAAATCTTCAGCATAGCGTTCCACTTACTGAATTTTAAATTTGTTGTTAAACCTGTTATGGAAAAAATTAGGATTTTCGAGTTACTCGTCATCCATTTGTTGTCAGATATACTAATTGTCAGAACCTTCTTCCGCTTCGAAAACACTCAAATATTACCTGTCAGTACCTTCACAGAAATTTGCGAAATTTCAACACTTGGAAAAATTAATTAATAACGTACACTGTAAAGAATTCTGAATCAAATTGCGGTAAAACGTACCGGTACATTTAACCATGAAATCCATTTTGCTAGAGCCTGTTACGGAACAAAAAATCTGATATACTGTAATTTTTACAGTAATAATTACCGTAAAACCACTAAATCACTCTAATTAAATAAATATGACTGAAAAAATTGCAGTATAATATTTTGCTGTAAAAATGGACTTTACAGACCCGGAAGTACCAAAATAAATGGGACTAAATTAAGATTTTCCTTTGAGAATATCATTTTTTTCCAAGAATGTTGTTTAGAACCTTCATCTATTCAGCTTTTCAAATGGGTAGTAAACATAAGTTTCATAACCTATAAAAGTATTTTTTATAGGTTATGAAACTTATGTTATTTAGAACCTTCATCCATTCAGTTTTTCAATTGGGCAGTAAACATAAGTTTGATAACCTATAAAAAAAAATTCTCACGCTGCATATCTAAACAATTTTTATCTAGCTGTTGATTCCATTTTCTCAAAAAATTCACTAAAATCAACTTATTTCTACCAACTTGAACTTATTTTTTGAATCAAAGGAGAAAATAATATTGTGTCCTTTTCCTTCATTTATCTAATTTTTCTTCATCCCATACTTATCACGGAATCTTAAACACGAGCAGAAAATTTCCCGTACTTAAAAGCTATTCGTAGACAAATATTACATACAATTTCCCTTCAGGCAAACAATATCAACCACATTTTTTTTTGTCATCTGATGTCCGGTCATCCATGAAAACTCGACTTAGGTTA